GGACTGGGCAGAGGAAGAATACAATTCATCTGTCTATGATTGGTAAACTGCCAAACACATTGTAGACGATGTAAAATTTAGATGGGCAATATCCAGCTTCTCTCCATATAAATCGCGAGGACCTGACGGTATCTATCCAGCCCTACTTTAGTGGGGTCTCTAAGAACACACACACCGCACCTGGTGGGTATATCGAGATCCTCGTTGGCTCTGAGGAATATACCCCAAAAATGAAGAGAGGTAAAAAAGGTATTTATACCCAAACCTGGAAAGATGGATTACACTGTCCCAAAAACATACCGACCAATAAGTCTGACATCGTTTTCCATGAAGATATTGGAAAGGCTATGCGAAAGGTACAAAGGTACATCTGAATGTGACCTGTCTTCACACACAATAATAATAATAATAATAATAATAATAATAATAATAATAATAATAATATTAATAATATTTATTTACCAAATAATTACATATTATGTAAGGTTAACAATGTAAAATATAAGCCATATTAGGAAAAATAAATATGATAGTCCCACAGAAGAGCAAGTCTGTGCGTGGGATTAACTATAAATAATTAGTGTATCTGACAAGTGTTTTTATAATACTTTCATCTAATTAACATATTGCACTATAGATTAATACTAATAACCATCTAATAATAATAACAATAACAATAATAATATTAATAATAATAATAATTAAAAATAATAATAATAATACCAATAACAATACAACAATAGTAATAATAATAATAATTAATCATTATAACTTTTTGGGACACGTAATATATGATTATAAGAGGAACAAAAAAAAATGATTTTTTTAGATTTTTTTTTTGTTTTTTTGTTTTTTTTTATTTTCAATTATTTTTTTTTTTATTTATTTATTTACCCTCAATTAAGACATGGATATCTGAGCAACTTAATGTATTACACCACTTTTTGACAAATTTTTTGAATAAGTTAAAGTGATTTAGACTTTTTATTTCTGAGGGGACTAGATTATAACATTTTGGCCCTAAATATAGATATGATCTTTGTAATAAATCTTCTTTTTTGCCCTGATGACGGAGAAAACATCATTTGACCTATACCTGGTAGGGTATTGGTGATGAATTTTGGTTAATTCCTTTCGATTTTTGTGTTGATGTATAATGAGATTTACAAAATATAATTGTCGAATATCTTGAATTTTGGTTTCACTATAAAGTGTACTACTAGTATATAATCTTGGTTTTTTGAATATTATTTTGAGTATATACTTTTGAATAACCTCTAATTTGTGTATGTGTACCTTACATGTACCTCCCCAGGCAACAATTCCATAAGATAAATGGCTTTGAAATAGTGAGTAATATATTATTTTCAGTTGCTCTGTATCGTAATACCTAGTTAAATATTTTAATTTATAATTGACTGTTCTTAGTTTTTTTAGTAAATATTCGATGTGTATATCCCATTTTAGGTGTGAATCTAGTATTAATCCTAAGTATTTTATCTTCGAAACAGATCTAATGTCCACCCTTTCTCCATCCAAATCTATTGACAAAGTAGTATACTGGGGCAAATAACTGGAATATGAAGCAAATGCCATGAAGTGAGTTTTGTCTGTATTGATTGTAAGTTCTTTTTGATCAAACCATTTGATTATGTTTGCGAAATCTATTTCTACTAGACTTTTTACATCTTGCCAATTTTTGTCTTGATATATTACAGCCGTATCATCGGCAAAACTCACTATGCGACTCTTGCTATTTATTTTAAAGATGTCATTTAGATATAGATTAAACAACAGGGGACCCAGGACAGTTCCCTGAGGAACACCGTATTCACTCGTTAGAAAGGTACTTTTAGTGTCGTCTATTTTAACGCATTGTTTTCTGTTTTGAAGATAACTCTCCATAAGCTTGTAACGTGATCCCCTAAATCCTATTCCATCCAAAACTTCCATAAGCTGAATGTGACTAATGGTATCAAAAGCTTTTTTTAGATCTACAAATATACATATGGTAGACAAACCAGAATCGATACTTTTGACAATGTCGTTTGTGAGTGATACAAGTGCATCATTTGTTGACAATAGTCAGTAAAAAAAAGTGATGTGGTAATACGAGAAGATAGCTCTAGACATGAATACCGCAGAAATATACTATACCTTAAGAAAATAGAAGGAGAATGGAAAGTAAGCGAAGACAATATCTGTCCACAAATAAACCTAGAAGTAAAGAAAGTCCACGGAGAGATAGTTAATAAATTAATGTCCAAGTCAGTACAAATCATAACAATATTAATACAGGATACACTTCTAATTATTGATATTTCTTTTGTATTTAAATAATTTTGGCTGTCTTGGTTTATAACACTATCAATTCTAAATCTGTTGGCACCGTGAATCGCTAAGGTTAACTTAGGTATAGTCTTAGTGTAGTCACTTAACTATTTAATTGGAGTTATTTTAGAATGTATTATTGTAATATGTATAGATAATTATTAAGTTAAAATTGGTTATGTAATTATTTATAGATAATTATTAAGTGAACATTTATGTTATATATAAGAAATTAGCTTGCTACATCATTACAAAGCCCTATAATGTTGACTAATATGAGAATTAGGCCTTTGCTCAACAGTTCGAGGTTAATTTGCCACTGATAAGGAGAACAGATTTGTATTCAAAAAATATTACTTCTCTGGTTCTTACTGTATCAAATAAATAACTATTCAAATATATGCCAAATTTCTCGGTAAACATCACTTAGATTATCGATTACAGTAGAGCTTTTTATGAAATCTGTAGATAACCAATAATCTAAACATTACCCACATGATTTTATTAAATTACCTTATGTCACGATAGCTAGAAACAAATAATGAAATGATAACCCAATAACAAAAACTGGAAGCTTTTACATAAAATGTAAAAAGCATAAACAAATATGAAAACCGTATAAATAAAGCATTTTATTTTTACAATATTCTACGAGGTTACATTAAAAAGTTTACGGACTGAAAAATAGGGCCCGTTCACTTTCATTTTTGAATGTGAATTAATTATATATTTATAAAGACATTAAACTCTTTTGTCTGGTGGTACTTTTCCCGTTAAGATATTTTTGCTAGAAGTAAGGGAATTCCCATAAAATTCTTTCAGTGACTCATTGCGTCAGAAAATCCCTAATTCCGTTCACGTCTCGTATCGGTTATGCTTAAAGACGGCGAGGTTGTCGGAAGTATCCCTAATATAGCATTTCTGCATTTATTGCTGCGTTTGAGAATCCACATCGGATGCATTTTTTACATCTCGAGCGTTTTTTTATCCACATCGGACACATCTGTCCCATTACATTTATTTACGTATACTGCATCACGTGATCAAAGATTTTTTACATCTCAGATGCATCCGATGTGGATTCTCAAACGCAGCATTTATATGTAATTTAAGTAGTAAAATTCCATTATTTTTCTAAAAATCATGAACTTATATTTTCAGATTAAAAGCTGGGAGCTTATTTTTTACTTTTTAATTAAGGAGGTCCTTTCGCCACCCCTTTCGCCACCAATGTTAAATAAAAAATATTAGATTATGACTAAAATTTATTTTTTTTCTAATAGTTGAAGTCCTTATTTATCTAATGTTGAACTTTTAACTATACCTTACCGTGCAAATTTTTGAGATTTTTTTTTAAAAATGTGAGTATTTGTACAGTGTCTTACGAGAAAATAAGACCTCAACAACAATTCTCGAATTATATTATTATTTATTGATTAGATGGAGTAGAAAAAAACTAAAAATAGGGTTTTTGAAATATTTAGGTTTTGTTTTTTACAATAAAATATATAGGTTACCTTGGAATTTATTGAGAAATTAATATTAAAAAAAATTTGAAGTAACCTAGTTGAAAATGAAAATTTTTTGTGATTTTTTAATATTAATTTCTCAATAAATTCCACGGTAACCTATATATTTTATTGTAAAAAACAAAACCTAAATATTTCAAAAACCTTATTTTTAGTTGTTTTCTACTCCATCTAATCAATAAATAATAGTAAAATTAATTATAATTCGAAAATTGTTGTTGAAGTCTTACTTTCTCGTAAGACACTGTACAAACACACACATTTAAAAAAAAAAAATTCTCAAAAATTTGCACGGTAAGGTATAGTTAAAAGTTCACTATTAGATAAATAAGGACATCTACTATTAGAAAAAAATTAATTTTAGTCATAATCTAATATTTTTTATTTAACATTGGTGGCGAAAGGACCTCCTTAAAACAATTATTATTACTCAGGCTGAAAATTAACCAGACCATAATCAAAAAGTAGAAATTTGATTTGCAATATTTATCTGGTAAACGTGGCAACGTTGCATTTATTTCTAGAAGTGTGTGTAGACAACACTATTTAGAAGTAGGTACTTACAACGTTGTCACGTTTACCAGATACATTTTCTCAAATAAAATTTCGATCTGGTAATATTCAGCTTGAGTAATACTAATTGTTTTTATTAAAATTTAAAAAGGTAAGGCTTCCAGCTTTATCTGAAAATATAAACACATTATTTTTAAAAAATAATATATTTTTATCATGTAAATTTCTTTAATAAATGCAAAAGAGGAATGGTGGTGCAATGATACATCCGACAACCGCGCCCTTTTAACTATTAACCGATACAAGACCTGAAGGGAATTAGGGGTTTTCTGACGCAATGAGTCACTGAAAGAATTTTATGGGAATTCCCTTACTTCTAGCAAAAATATCTTAACGGGAAAAGTACCACCAGACAAAAGAGTTTAATATCCTTATAAATATATATATATTTCACATTCAAAAATGAAAGTGAACGGGCCCATTGGAACTATTTTCAATTTAATAAAGTTATATTTTTGTGCATATGAATTTTTATTCCAGAGAAAGAGATTTTGAACCTTAAGAAAAAACTCTATTGGCTATCTACGATCATCTTGTAAGATCATAATGAAAACAACCAATTAAGTGCTTATTATTTATTTGTACAAAAACAATTTTTTTGTGTAAATATTAACATGCAAAATTGTACACATAAAGAAATTAAATATTAATTTCCTACACAAAACCAGTTATATCCAACGAAATAATGTGCTTATGTATCTCAAATCATCAAATTTACACTTAGGGGGCAAAACAAATAAATTAGTTCAAAAGAATAACTTTAGTAATAGATATTGTTCAAATCAAACATAGTTTTTAACTTTACTAAATAGATTCAAAATGCTTAGAGGACATTGTTTAATATACTTCTTACAGTGGCCTTTTTTTCTTCCGAATTCTTCTGATTCAATGTAATCATCTATCGCGTCTTCTTTGACTGAAGAAGATGGCCTGAAACAAAATCATTATGTAATATTTAGACCAATACATTTTTTGATTTGAACATTTTCCAGACCGGCCCTGTCTTCAATGGCAATGTGCACCTAAACAAATACATTTTAAAAAATAAATAACTTTTGTCTATTGGTCACGTAGATAACATTTCAATACATATTCCGTCTTTTAACTAGCAACGTCTTGCATTAGTTGGACGAGTCCATTCTACGATAACGAGGGGAGTAATGTGCCCAGCTTCCCTTCATACACAAAAACCAACGAGTTTCCTTTTTCGACTTCCACAGTTCACATAGTTTTATCGCATTCCCAGCTGCACATAACGTTGCCAAGACTTTCGGCGATGTTGCATTAAGGGAACGTAATAACATTACTATACAACGTAAATGTAACGTTCATGAGAAGTTGTTGCGGGAAATCAAAACCTCGCAAAACTTCTATTTGTTATTTACCTAGTTAACCTACCTATTAGGTTAACACAACGTAATAAAGTAATTTGCTAAAAAGAACAAAAACTGTTTATGTCAATTGTCACTTGCCAATTTTTCTTGTCGTATGTCATGTTTGTTTTTTTTATTTGCAGAATTTCTTTTATAATTATTATTAAAAACATTTGAGTAGGAGTGGTAAGGATCCTCTATAAAATAGAAAACTATTTTCTGAACTATTTTCTGAACTATTTTCTTCGTTTTAGATTACAATGTCTGTTGTAAATTTTATAAAAAAGTCCGGGAATATTTGGATCATATTTTTGTAGTTTTAGACAGAACGACCTGGAGCTGGTTTATAAAATTATAAAAATGTCCGGAAATATCTGATAGCTTTGTTAGAAGCTAGATAGAAGGACTTGGTTTATGAAATTATAAAATGAGGACCTCTAAATACTTGAAATACCTTACGAAAGAGATATACAAAACTAAGTTGCCACGTTACTGGACTATTTAAGGATGTAAGTGGTGGCAGTAATTCCTTTTTCCCTAGTTGGCTCTTAAAATTTAATGATTCGGAGAGTGAAGGGATTAATAAAAGTATATCTAACTGTGATTGATATAATATCTCTTTTAGCTTATGCACAATTTACCCTGTGGTTTATAATCCCCTACAATTGGTTATTTAAGCTGTTAATGCGTTGATGGTATTAATGATACGATACAATTTATCTTTTGGTCCCCCTTTTAGTACTAGAAGGTGCACAGGTGAGTTTACATGTTTAATTTTTCAAGTTTATCTGCTATATAGTTTATATTTATTTTAGGAATTAATCAAAACGAGCCACTACTTAAAAATCTGGAGAAATACTTGTGGCTAAGAAGTTATAAATCTTACTGCAATCAAACTGTTGATCATTCAGGATGCGGTAATAACTGATGATGGCTTCTGGAAGCGCCAAAGCCTCAGCAAGGGGCTGCAAGTGAATTATAGCTATATAAATTGAGATTCCTATGCATGTCGCTAACATGTGTTTTAGGTAATATTTCAGTTCAACAAAAAACCCACTAAGTTATTAGATACATAATTATTCATTAGATAATTACAGGAAATGATAAATAAAGGCCTAAAATAAAATAACACTATTGGTATGTGATTTTAGGGGAGCATGGAGAGGTTGAACTTATCACAGATTTAGGGGCCCTTCTTTTACAAGAAACAAAATCCACAATATGTGATTCCACTTTACTAAGGATGTAACAAACTTCTGGATAATAATATACTTAATCGAACTAAAAATACATTTTAAAAATATTGTATTTTAGATTTCCTTTGTACCTGAAACCATTCTAAGAATTTTAGAAGCAAAATAAATACTACAGACTTGTCTAAAGAAGAATAGGTATATGACATCTGAAGTTTTATAAAAAGTGAATCTACATGGTACGTCTATATTGAGAAAAAAAAACATCAGATTCAAGCAATAGCCAAACTAGAAGAAAATTTGAGAAAAATCACAGACGATGCCGTCGAGCATACATCAGAATATCTTGCTAAAAAACATGAGTTGTTTTTTTATAGTCTTCATACTAACTTGGAAATCCATAATTAAGCATAAAATTTGTGAAAAATAAGTGCAACGATTTAAACTTGAGTATATTTTTTTTACTTTCTATATAATTTCCTTCAGTAATAGTTAAACAAGTAGGTCAATCTTTTTTTTATTCAATATGTTGTGGAAAAGTAAAATCATTTTATATAAAAATATAATTTATCCTCTTCGAATAAATTGTCATATACTTATGTTACATTATAGCATAAATAAAAATATTTCCAAGCCACATGTAGTTAGAATAAAATAATTTTTGTTCACCTTTGTATAAATAAACTAACAAAATAAAAATATATAAATATCTACAGGGTTGGGCATAATTGGCGGAACACCCGATTTGTGGCTCAATTATGGATTGTATTGAAAATTAACCCAAATAAAGTTTTTTGTATATTTTATGTACTATTTAATGACGCTTGGGGATTTTCATTATCTGTCATATTTATCAAGATATGACGTCATCGGATGAAATTTTAAATGAATCACCCTATATTTATATTTTTTTTCAGATAGATCTTTTCTTTCTGAATCCATTAATGTAAGGTTTGAGGGTCTCCGAGTTCATAACAAAATAGAAAGTAAACATTTATTTAATAAAAAATAATAATTATTATCAATCGAAGTATTACAAATCTCTCAAAGTAAGTGTTCGAAGTGAAAGCCTCCAACTGCCTGACAATATCCTAGTCTATCAACAAATGATCTTAAGGCATTTTGATAAACTTCAGGTGTTATTTCTTGAACAGCAATTCTTATTTTGTATTCCAATTCTTCCAGCGAATGTGGCAGGTCCTTATAAACTAGTGATTTCAAATGGCCCCAAAGAAAAAATCCAGTGGGGTTAAATCCGGTGACCGTGCCGGCCACTCAATATGTCCTCTTCGACCCACCCATCTCTGTGGAAATATTGTGTTCAGGTACTGCCTCACTCTAGCATCGAAATGAGGTGGAGCACCATCTTGCTGGAACCAAATTTCATCAGAAAGTTGTAAGTGATTTCTGTGATTTGGATATAAACGAACTAACTCTGGAACTATCTGCTCTTGAAGTAGTTGCAAATAACGATCACCGTTCAGAGTTCCTCTCATGAAGAATGGTCCAATAATTCTTCCTCTAACTATACCAGCCCAAACATTTAACTTTTGTGGATATTGGGTGTGACCTTCTTCCATCCAGTGAGGATTATGATCAGACCAATACCGGCAATTATGTTTATTTACAAATCCATTGAGACAAAATGTTGATTCGTCGGAAAAAACAATGCTGTTCATCAACATATTATTTCCATTAATGGCATCCATCATTACCTGGCAGAATTGCATTCGCCTATCTGGGTCATCTTCATTCAATTCCTGGTGTAATTGCACTTTATAGGGATGAAATTTATTGACTTTCAGAATCCTCCTTACAGATCTCTCGCTCATATTATTGTCTAACGCAAGCTTTGGAACTGAAGTTTTTGGTTCTTCCTGTACACTTAGAACCACATTAAGTGCATTTTCTTCATCAGTGGCTGTCTTCTTCCGTCCAGATCTGGGATTATTTTTCACACTTCCTGTTTCATTAAACTTGCTCAAATTTCTGGATACTGTAGATTTAGAAATCGGGGAAATCCTGTCAGGAAATGTTTCATTGAACAAATTACAAGCTTCTTGCAGAGATCTCTTTCTGTCTCCAAACCCAATAATCATCAATAGTGTAATTCTTTCACGTTCACTCAGTTCAACCATGGTTTAAATTAATAAAAATTCTCAATAGTATCAAATGCTAAGAGTTATTTATTTTCGCGTATTGGGCTAGTTTGGGTGAAATGAATTGACTTGCAATTAAACTCAACTTGTTTGATTGTCTCCATAAACCAGAATGAATTAAAATCTACAGATTAATAAAAGGTGAGAATAGTTTTTATAATATTATAAAAACCAAGTAAACAGTAACACAAAAACATTGGTAGGTATTTCTGTCAGAGATGTACAATAATCGTAATAATAAAACTCAGTGATTAATATCGAGATGTCAATATTACATTTTAATGTCAAAAAGTGAAACCATGGCAAAACAATTGATATTGGTACATTATGATGGCACAGACAACTTTGTGAATAGTTATTCATTAATTATTTAAAAGAACGTTTACCATTTTGTTTTATTATTTTCTGATGATAAGGAAAATCAGAGACCACCCGAACCCCATATTGATGGATTCAGAAAGAAAAGATCTATCTGAAAAAAAATATAAATATAGGGTGATTCATTTAAAATTTCATCCGATGACGTCATATCTTGATAAATATGACAGATAATGAAAATCCCCAAGCGTCATTAAATAGTACATAAAATATACAAAAAACTTTATTTGGGTTAATTTTCAATACAATCCATAATTGAGCCACAAATCGGGTGTTCCGCCAATTATGCCCAACCCTGTATACAAAAATAAAGTTAAAAAGTTTGATTTTAAAAAGATAATATATCTCTGCGAGTACAGGTAAGCAATCTGGAACCTCAGCTATCTCTTATGATATATACCTAGTCATTGTTGCAATCATCTATTGTTCACAGATCTAGTTTTTTTAGCATCATACAATTGCCATCTTCAAACGTACCTTATATAAATATACTTTTGTACAATCGTTCACTGTTTAAGCTTCTAGTGAACCTTTGCAATATTGATACTTTATTATACTATTAAGCAAATTTTGTCCAATCGTTCAGTGCTTTATAGGTGGCTTCTACTATCGTACATGTGTAACTGCATTTGTGATATACCTACCTCTACTTTTGTGATATTACTACTTGATTTCAAGAACATTTTAATAATAAATTTATATAAATATTTTGTTTCATTTGAAATTTTCATGTCTCGATTGAGTTTTTACTATACCTCAATTTCAGCCTCTCTTTTCTTTTTTCTTCGATTACCCATATATTTAATAATTTTCACTCGGTTTAAAATAAAATAACACTCTGTATTTTTATATTTTAAAGCAACACGTATCAAACAAAAAAGTGTGATTCATTAGTTAAAATTGTGGCACGTAAATATCGCAAAGAAGCTACTACCGGGTGTTTCAAGTATTTGGAGAAAACCAGTGAAATATAATTTAAAATATTTGTCATTAATAAAAAATATATACCTATACCCAAGTAATATAAAACCTATTTAATATATTATCGCTATTTTTTCTATTTTAATCTTTTGTATTTAGAGAGAATAATATTTACGTTAATAATATATGTAGTATATCTCCAAGAACGCTGGAATTCAGTGTAGTATATTCTGATGCTTCACATACTGCCCTTTGCAGACATGGTTTTCCTTCATATCCAAACCTAAAAATGTTTAAATAGCTCTTGACACAAAACCAATGAAAGTAAATAGTAAGGATAGATTGTCAATATCTTAAAATAAGGGGTAAGTTTTAAATAGGACCCACCAGGAATATCTGTGGACATATAACTATGATGAAAAATCCCAAAATATGTCAGTAAAGAAATCTTTGACATGCCGTTAAAACACGCACCCTCTCATCTCTACATATCGGCCCTTATAATACTTAAATAAAATGACCTACCTTGTGATACCTCAATAAATAGGTATTTTCATTAGTAATTTAGATCTAATTTTATATTTTAAAGACTTAGGTAGTAGTCTTATAGTGCAGTTTAATCTCAGAAGGCACAATGTAAGTGATTACGCATTCCAAGATATTAAGAGTGGGTCCTTTAAAAAAAATTACCCTGTATTTATTTAGTTTTTAAAAACTGAATAATCAAATACATAATATACGTACCCGTTTATCTTGGTTTCCAACAGTTTATAAAAGAATCCCCTTGTTGAACTAAAAATCGGTGGATACGTAAGTAAAGATTGATTTTCTGGAAGTCCATAAGACGACTCAAAATTTGCCGAAAAAAATAAATCAGCAGGTCCTCTGATGTCTATAGGTAGGGCAATAGCCACAAATGTCTAAAAAATAATACCAGTAAAGTTAAAGGTTAAACTGCTATAGAAATTTAACACATTTCATTGTTTATATTATTAATTTTTGTTTTTTCGAGGATATTTTGTGTTGCGACTTGTAATTTTTATCATTTTAAGTAGGTTAGGTTAGTAATGCTCTAATTAATAATAATCAATAATAATTGAATCTAATTTCAGACGTGAAAGGAATCTGCAGAACTGTCCTTATGTTTCATAAATAGAAACAAAATATTATACGGATTAGGTGTTAAGATATTACCAGTTGTTTGTAACGTAGGCCAACACTATCGGTTTTCAAATATTTATTAAATAATTAGTCAGTTTTAGCTGGTGTTACAAAAATCTACGAGCTCCAGATGACACCATTTAACACGAATCCAAATGCAGTCATGTTAATAGTAACACAAATAACAATAGTACTATCTTTCATTTCATTTTAACATAGTAACTAATCTAATATTCACGCAAAAGGGGTAAAATGAGTTCAACATTAAATTTCTCAGCAATAGCATTTAGGTAAATAAAACCATCCTCTTCAAATCCGCTGAATGTTAAGCGTCCTCACTATAAATAGAAAGAAGGCGCATCAAATCATACCTCACTGACATAACTATCACACTCAAAGTAGGCAACGACCTGTCAGACACATTTACCCACTTGCTGGAATACCACAAGGTTTCGTCCTGGCCTCTCTCCTATACGTGATATACACCCACGATCTTTCATCCTCAAACCCATTGTCAAAATGTCTTTTCTATGCTGACGATGCTGCTCTGATCTCAGTAGCAAAAACTTTTGATCAACTAAGTACTTAAACCCAAAACATACTGAACCAGTACTCCTAATGGTGTAGGTAACAGATGAAGGGTCTCACTCAATCCACAAAAAAATCGATTTATTATTTTTAGACATCCAAACTCACTAAGACTTGCCAAACAGACAAAAATTGACTATTTGGAAATGCAATTCTCTCACTCTCGACACTGATCCTGTCTAATGCACTCCTACAAATTTGTGTGGAGAATTTGGAGATGCAACTCAAATACCTTTTATCCACATCGTTGGTGAATACAGTGTCACGGCGTACTTCCAACACATCTTGCCCACATTTTCTCTGTCTTAGACAATCATGGCCTACTTTAAACTCTTTTTTGTTGATCACTCGTTATATCGGAGGATTAAAAGGGATAGATATTACAAAAATCCAAAACGTTCTAAGATATAATATTTTCTTTATTGACTGACTTCCGGATGCTGACTTTTAATCTTGCAAATAATATTAAATTGTACATTAATACTCACTCCGACATATGGATTTCCAACAGAAGAAAATGGAAAGCGTATTGGGTTAATGAACTGATACTGCTGCGCCACTATTTTCACGCAAAAAATTACCAATAAAACACAATAACAGCCCAACACTTTACTCATGATGGCACACGTACGCTTTTGCTTTGAAGCAAGAACTGTTCTTTATTTTATTAAAGTCAACAATTAGTTAAACTGCTAAGTAATAACCAATAACGGAGGATATAGGTTAGTCAATTTTTTATCAGTGGCGTAACAATTTCTTGTATCTACCTAATTACAATGTAATATAACAAGTATTAGAAATTAAAAATAAAAAAAAAACGACTTTAAAAACGTGAGGTACCTTACTAACAAAAAAAGAATCATATAAATCGGACAAGGTGGTAAAGCATTATCGCTAAACATACATAAAAAATGAAGAGTTTGAGAAGTTTCTCATGGACCCAATTATTAGATTTTAAACAAATTTATATGGAACCACCCCTGAAGTACCCCCTTTCTAACAAAAAAAGTCATTGGAATCGGGCACCGTGTTAAAGTATTATCGCTGAACATACATATAAAAAAAAAATATTGCGACGAATTGAGACTCTCCTCCTTTTTTGAAGTCGGTTAAAAACGTTAGGAAACATTAATTTGGTCTTTTTTAGGCAATGACCTGAAGTCCACCGGGCATCTTAACGTTTATACTTATCAGAATCTGATCCCTGTTCCGCAAATCACTTTCTGAGACTCTTCAGTCTTAATAAATTTATTAAATCAAAAACATAAAAATATTTTGCATGAGCAAGCTTAAGGGGCACAGGTACAAAATATTTTTATATAGACAAGCTTAAGGATTATAGGTTCGAAATATTTTTATATAGACAAGTTTAAAGGTCAAGTTTTACAAATAATTTTATATGTAGGTACAGGCAAAGATGATAAAGAGACCAAAATTATAATACGCATATACTAAGAAATAAAGGGAGTAAAATTGAAACACAATACAACTAAAGATTTTCTGATTAAAAATAAGCCCATTAAACTATATTAATGGTTTTAGAAATGTATAATTTGAATATTCAAAAAGTATTAAGGACTAAATTTTCTTTTTTTTTTTTATAGTTTCATTAAATTCAGTAGACATGTTTGAAGTCAAAAGATACACCTATCAGCAAAACAATTAGTTAAATATACTATGCCAGTGGCGTTCGGCATGGATAAGTAAACACCTTTGTGCCCTCGAAATTTTACGCCAGTGTCCAAAAATTTATTTGCACTATACTTTTACATTTTTTGATGTGTTTTAAATAAATCATGCACTCTTGTTGGGAACTCATAAAGTGATTGGTTTTCGAGATATTTTGAAGCTGTTTAAGGGGTAAAAGGACCAAATATTCTTAAATGAGCACGTTTAAGGAATAAACATACCAAATATTTTTTTTATTAAGCAAAATCTTAAAGGGTAAATGGTTCAAATACTTCTACGTGGACAGACTTAAGATAAAAAGGGCTTAATTATTTTTACATAGATTCAAATAATTTGCAAACCCTTATCAAAAGGCAATATGGAGTGGTTCTTAAAAAAACAGGACTAGAAATGTGAAGATTTTCTTTCTTGATCCTCAATACTTCTTATTCGTCATCTTTTGTCTTTCGTTCAAAATCAAATCGTTTCTCCTTGTATGCTTCTAATTTGTCCTTGTCTCGATAAGGTGGGAACCACCAATAAATTTCTGTAATTTTAGCTCATATGTAATAACTGAATTATGCCGTTTTTGTTTTATTTTTTTTTATTTTGTATTATTTTGTTTTGTTTTATTTTGTTTTACTTTTTTAGTTTTGTTTTATTTTTTTTAGTTTTGTTTTATTTTGTTTTAGTTTGTTTTATTTCATTTTATTTTATTTCGTTTTATTTTGTTTTATATTGTTTTATTTAATTTATTTTGATCTATTTTGTTTTACTTTGTTTTATTTCGTTTTATTTTGTTTTATATTGTTTTGTTTTATTTTATTTTGTATTATTTTGATTTATTTCGATTTATTCCGATTTATTTTGATTTACTTTGATTTATTTTGATTTATTTTGATTTATTTTGATTTATTTTGATTTATTTTGATTTATTTTGATTTATTTTGATTTATTTTGATTTATTTTGATTTATTTTGATTTATTTTGATTTATTTTGATTTATTTTGATTTATTTTGATTTATTTTGATTTATTTTGATTTATTTTGATTTATTTTGATTTATTTTGATTTATTTTGATTTATTTTGATTTATTTTGATTTATTTCGATTTATTTATTTTGATTTATTTTGATTTATTTCGATTAATTTCGATTTATTTTGATTTAGATTTTGATTCAATTTAATTTATTTTGATTTAGATTTAATTTGATTTATTTTGTTTTGTTTCTTTTTGTTTTTGTTTTATGTTGTTTTTTCATTTCTCTTTATTTTATTGTTTTATTATATTTTGTTATGTTTTAGTTTGTTTTTATCTACTAAATTAGCATATTAGTATAAACTTTGACGCCCCCCTTCCTAGCCCTTTGGCGCCCACAGATGTTTGGGCGCCCAGAAAAGCATCGCTCCTTTCGCACTTTGGCCCACGATACGCCACTGTCTCCAGGTAAAAAATATTAAGTAAATTAACAATCTTAAACTTTTTTATGAGTCTGGTCCAGATTATAAGTAGGTAAGGCAGTCTAGAGTAAACGCACATTCCTAAAAAAATACAAGAAAATAATTTTGTTGATACTTGAACTGTATACAGTGCGAATATTTAGAATGCAAAAATTAATAATATTCAGCATGTGTAAATATAATGGTTCAATATCAAATATCTTTATATTGTATTAATATTGATGTTGATTCGTATAATTAACAAATTCTTCAAATTCAGACCATATCCTTTTAAAGGTGATGTTAATCTGTTAATGTTAATTTTCACAGTTTCTCGATTTGTTAAATGTCTTCCACTATTGTTTATCTTTTTAATATTTTCAGACCTGCTCGGCTTCCTTCAATTGCCGTTTAAAACATTCCACTTTTGAAATTGTTAATCCAATTATGAAGTAAACCGCTTGTAATGCAGAGGCGTGCCAATTTTTGTTTTTAAAGGGTACCAAAAACACGAAATTTTTACTCCGTTTGCCGGCCGATTACTTTTATAATGTAAATAAGTGTTTTTTGTGTAATTTTTCGTTACTTCACTGATTACTTGTGGCATTTTGATTTTATTATTGAATTCTTATTTAATTATAATAAATACACAAAAGACGCTAAAAATGTTTGACATTCAATAATTTCGAAGTCATGTGTTAGACATTAAATATTTAATTTTTTTATAATCTAAAAGAATGATTGGCAATGTCGATTAACATTTACAAGATACCGTGCATAAGCTTCGCGTATTTTAAATTTAATTGTTGTCCTGTGTTAATTAAATTCTTAATAATAAGCAATAAAAGTTTTGTTTTACAAAAGGACCCAAGAACAAAAAATATTGACTATAGGTAAAATACTCTAATCTCTATAAAACATCTAATTTTTTCTTGTTGATGACTTTTTATTGAAACTATTTGTCTAGATTAAATTAGTAAGAGGTATTTTTTCTTTTTCAGCTTGTGTTTCGATTTTACAGTAGTGTAGATTTTTCATGTGAAGGTAGGATAATTAATGCATTGAAATAAATAAGAAATAATTGCCAAATTTAAATGGGAATACCTAAATATTTAATGTTATAAAAATTATATAGCCACAGGAAAACATTTTCATATTTATTTATTTTTCTTATTATATACGGGGTAAAGGCATAAACATATGGGTTATCTTGAACATCGAACTCAAACAGTAAAAATCAGCAATCAATTTATTGATCTATTTTGGGCCCACTGTTATTTTCTCTTTATGTAAATAGTTTGCTAAATCTAAAAATATCTGGAGAAATTACTTGTTTTGCTGACGACACAGTTATTCTGTACAGTTCTCACACATGGCAAGAACTGAAACGGAATGTTGAATCGGATATGACAAAAATAATTGACTGGTTTAATAATAATTTGTTAACAATTCATTTCGACAAAACTTTTTTTATACAATTGCATTGTATGCTAACATCATGCTCGACTATCAAACGCTAACGATTAAAATCAATAGTGCTATTATTATAAACAAAACGAATCATATCAAATATTTAGGGGTTATTGACTGTAATTTAAGCTGAGAAAAGAATATTCAAAATATTACAAAAACATTAAGATGTCTTCTTTTTAAATTTAAGTATTTTAGTACAATCTTGGGTATAAATCACCTAAAAATAATTTACTACTCACTTTTGAGTCTAGGTTACAGTATGGAATACTAGCATGGGGTGGGCTTTATCAAGTTCATTTAAGGGCATTAGAGATAATTCAAAAAACGTATACTGAAAATGATACTCAAAAAAATCTCTTATTTTCTCAACAGATTTACTTTTTCAAGAATCTCAAGTGCTTGATATTCGCCAATTATTCAATCTTAATTCCAGCATTTAAAAATAGAAATAAGTACTACACGATATTTGTCACAGATATAGTACTAGACAAAAAACTTCCCATTTCGTTAAAATCTCGTCATTAAGAAAGACTCTAGGTGACATCAAGGTTTTTTAATTCACTACCAGAAATCTATAAAATATACATTAAAACAATTAATTCCACAATTTTCATTAGTTTTCAAAAAATTCCTAGCTAATACTAAAAGGAAATATATACACCATTTGATAGATTCAAAATAATCATATGCCAAATAGGTACATACTTTTATGTCGTACCTACATTGCCACTATGTATCCATTTTCTCTAAAATGCACTATGTATCCGCAATCTTTGGATGCTATATACCTAATACTATATAACTAATTAACTATTGTCCTTTGATCAAAATATGCTATTTTTAATTTAGGTATTATATTATACCCAGATAGCACAAAGTCGTCTTATAGACGTCTAGCATAAGACATTAGAGACGTCTATACTAGACGTCTGATGTTACAAAATGGCTTATATTGGCCTGTAGAGTTTAAAATAAGCCATAAATAAGACGTCTTTAAGACGACTTATTAATAGCTTATAATGGTCTTGTAAAGCCTTAAATAAGCCATAAATAAGATGTCTAAGACGTCTTATTAATGGCTTATAATGGTCTTGTGAAGCCTTAAATAAGACGTCTTATTAATGGTCTTATGAACCTTTAAATAAGCCATAAATAAGACGCCTTTTAGACGACTTATTAAAAGCTTATAATGGTCTTGT